GATCCAGCAAATACCCCAAACCACATCATCCTTATTATTGACGACGTTGACTCAGGCGTGGACCAGATGGTTAAGACTTGAGAAACGACTCTTTGTTTCTGCTTGGTGTATACCCAGAGCCCATAAGGACAACAGATAAAGGAGAAACCAGCATCCTTTAGAAAATACCATGACTCCTTCTGCCTCCCCTGCTTGAAATCTTTCCATTCATCCCCATTTCTCTAAAACTAAATGTCTTTTTTTTTTAAATCATTTTATTTGGGGCTCATACAACTCTTATCACAATACATACATACATCCATTGTGTCAAGCACATTTGCACATTTGTTGCCAACAACATTCTCCAAACATTTGCTTTCTGCTTGAGCCCTTGGTATCAGTTCCTCATTTTTTCCCCCGCTCCCCTCTCTGTCTTAACCATGCCTTAACTCTGGCCAAACCCACCCAGCACTCGGAGTAACATTCTGACATCCCAGCAAATCCTTCTTTACTTCCCCACTGAAACAGGTTTTCTTTGACCCCCAAGGCCTTGCCAAAGATAGACATTCTGCTGGCAACATCTTCTTTCTGACCAAACCTGTATCATCTAACTCTTCCCCACCTTGCTCATCACTCCCTATCTCACCATCCCCCCCGAACTGCCCTTCTTCAGAAAAAAGCTTTATCTGATACCTGAGTCAGGACCAGACTCTGCTTCTACCTTCTTCTATTAATACAACCTCTCCTTCCTGTTAACAGTTATGTTTGTTTAGTTGTCACCTCTTGTCTCCCTCTTTATTTCCAGCATCTAGTCACCTAATGATTGAATCTTATTTTATTCGGAATTGACATCAAGTCAGTGCTGACTCATGTTGACTCCTGTGTGCCAAGTAAGCCTGCTCCTGAGGGTTTCACAAAGACTGTCGGCTTTCAGTTCAGGAGGAAGAAGAGGTTATCTGCTCCCATCAAAATTACAGCCTCGAGACCCTATGGAGCAACCTACTCAGGCCCATAGGGTTGCTAGCAGTCAGAAATGACCTAACAGCAGTGGGTTTGTGAGTGAATTACCTTTTGGAAGCTGATTGCCAGACCTGTCTTCTAAAATGCCTCTGTCAAACTTTCAACTAGTCAAGTTTGCGCCAACCAAAATGCACAACTCCGTTGTCTGGTATCAAGCCCGTTCCCATTCACAGCAAGCCTGTAGGACAGGGTAGAACTATCGGCCCCTGGGGAGTCCGAGACTGTAACTCTGGGCAGAAGTAGGACGTCTCCTCTCTCTCCCTCAGAGCTGCTGGTGGTTTCGACCGGAACACTACTAGTCACAGTATGATATCCAACACGGACTACAACAGACCAGCTACTGGAGGGTGAACACTTAAAATCGCATACAGAAAATCAGGCAACCACATGTAAGACACATGCCTCTCTTTCAGAAAATTAAGCACTCGCCTGTATGGTACATACACCATGTTTTGATTCAAATTGCAGTCATATTACCCAACCCACTGGCTGGTTTAAGTAATTAATAAATAACATGTTCCAAATCATACCTCAAGTATATGCCATCGTTTAGTTCTATAAATATAAAGAATAAAAATAGAAGCATTACACAAAGAAGTAAGAAAAAGTCAAATGCATAAACTGTGTGGTTACAGGCCCAAATTCCAACCTGATTTGAGTGATAGATACATCCATAATAATATAAGGTGCTCTGTCACCGTGTTCTGTTTTCATTTGAAATAACCCAGCGGAATATGCCATGCACACTTCCTAGACAATACATAATGCCATACGCCCCATCCATTTTAAGGCATGCAGTTTGGTTCTATAATATTAGAAGTAGTCTTCTCCCCTACCCTTGAGGAAATGCTCTTGATTCAATGTGCACAAAGGTCTTTTCATTATCTGCTTTCATCATTGCTATGACACTCTACTTTATAT